CGTTAGAATTTCATGAAAATGACATTTGTCAGATGTTGGGTTTTGTTCTCCATAATTTACGACTAAATGTCGTTGTTCTACGTCAAGGTGATTTTGGCATGAGACAACTGGAACATGCTGGATTTCGGTCACTTAGCAACAACATAAAACCAACAAAATGTCAACGTAATTTGTCATCAGTATTTTATGGCAGTATTTTACGTTGGCGTTAGAACTAAATATATTGTCATTGTTTTGTTTATTTGTGTTGTTTTTTTCGTGATATTCTTGTTGGATAATAATGTTAGAATGTCAGTTAGTGTGGACGTTAACATTATGACGTTTTGCAGATGTTGATTTTTTTTTTCCATAACTATTGACTAATTGTCGTTATTCTTTGTCAAGGTGATGTTGGTGTGACAGGACTGGAAGACACTGGATTTTGATCATTAAAAAACACTACTTAAAACCAACAAAATGTCAACGTCGTCTGTCGTCAGTATTTTACGTCAGTATCAGACGTTGTCTTGACATTAAATTTTGGTCACCTGACCTCAAAACCTGAAATCAAACAAATATCAACGTCTTCAAATGTCTTGAAGTAGAATGACAACATTATGGAGAACACAAATGGCGTAATGTTAACTTCCACACAACATGAAATTCTAACGTCAACAGACATTTAAAATATCATCAATATCAAAAATGTATATATTTTATTGATTTTTTTTCTCTATCATTGACAACTAAATGTCATTATTCTACCTCAAGATGATTTTGGCATGAGACGTTACAAAGACGTCACTTAACAACACAACTTAAAACCAACAAAATATCAATGTCATGTGTCGTCAGTGTTTTACGTTAAAATGATATGTCATGCTAATGTAAAATTTTGGTCACCCGATGTCACAACCTTAATTCAACCACACAACAGCATCTAACCACGCTGCCCAGCTGGCCCACGGCCGACCTTCAACATTGAAATGTGGTTTAAATGATGTCAGTTGTTGTTTCAGCATTGAAACAATGTTGAATTCTGATGGCTGTCAAAAGGTTAACAAAATTCTCATAAATCAACATTGAAATTTCAAAAAAATGTATTGTAACGTTGAAACAGTTTTGAAACCACATCTAAAGTTTATGAAAAAACATTGTAAAATCAACATCGATTCATCTTTCAAAATCAAAACATAATTCAACAGTAATGCAACCATGGTGTTTGACATTGATTCAGCAGTGAATAAACATTAGATGCCAGCTGGGTAAATAAAGCATGAAATTATTTCTATTATTATAAGTTTTCTCTGATCTTTTTTTTCTTCTGATCTTTGTACCTTGATCACTTTTTTTTCAACTGAATGACATTGCAGCTCTGATGTCACTGATGATGTCATTTATTTATTTGTTTGTTTTGTCTATTCTTTTTATTGCTACATTTCTTTTTTTTTTTTTTTTTTTTTTTTTTTGTTATCCCAGCTGCTGTCTGATCTCTAGCCATATATTGTCCTTTATTTGGTTGTTGAGGTGGTCATCATGGTGTTTGTTGCACTATTTATTAGCTTTATTATTTTGTCCCTTATCTATATTATCCATTTGATATCAAGAACATTACCCAAAATTAAAACAAAGTTGTTGTGTGTTTTTTTTTTTTTTTTTTTTTTTTTTTTTTTTACATTTTACATATTTGTAGTGTACGGTTTGAACACACGCGCACGCACGCGCGCGCTCACACCCACCTGCACCACCACCCTCCGCGGTGAGATGATCAGGTCCGGCCTCCCCACGTTTGGGTTCTGGGTATGATCCGGGACGGTGGGGACGGGCACCGGGATGGGTCCGTGTCTGTGTCCGGCCTTGAGTGCTCTGTGGCGGCTGTCGGTGGCCGCCTGCTCCCGCTGCCCCCGCTGCACGTGCCCGGGCTCGGACACCGCGGGTTTCACCTTCTTCCCGCCCTTCCTCTTGGCTCGCGCGGCCACGAGGCGCTTCTTCCAGCTCAGCGCGTGCAGCAGCACCGGATGCCGCGTCTTCGTCTTCTTCGTCTTCTTCTTCTTCTCCTTCCCGTCCGTCTCTTCCTCCTCCTCCTCCTCCTCCTCCTCCTCCTCGCGGGGCTCCGGCGGCTTCTGCACCGCGAGCTCCGCGAGCTTCTCCGGCCCTCGAGCCGCGGCTTTCCGCGAGCCCGGAGACAGAGACAGCACCGTTCCCATGACGACAAGCAGACCGAGCGGCGCGAGGCTCTCTGCAGCAGCAGCAGCAGCAGCAGCAGCGGAGGAGAAGCTGTCTGTCTGTCCCTCTGTCTGTCCTTCTGTCCGTCTGTCCGCTCCAACCGTAAATGAAAGGTTACAGATAAACCTCCATCATGGAGACAGAAGAGACACGAGCCGGCAGCTTCTTCACCCCTCCACCTATCTGTCTCTCTGTCCCGGTGTGGTGGCTCCGTGTGCCCCCCCTCCGTCTCCACCTGTCTCTCTGTCTCTGTGACGCAGACTGATGGACTGAAGCAGGGTGGGCGGGGCTCCTGCAGAGACGCTGTCCGCGGTGCTGAGCGCCTTTAAAACTGCAGTGAGGACCATTAAAGGACCGTTCCACTCATTTTTATTATCATCATCATCATCATCATCATCATCATTATTATTATTGTTGTAATAATGATTTTACACACTGAGTTATGGTTGCAGCAGGAGCAGAGATATCATACACAGTCCTCTTCTGTATCAAACCCTGACGCCTACATTACCCACAGTGCACCTCTCCCTCTGACATGTATCCTGCAGCAGAGATGACTGTCGCGTCTCTCCACCTCCACCTCTCCACAGTTTTACTTTTCAAACTCGTAGCCTGTGACCGACGCTGCCTCAGGTGACATCACTCGAGGCCGTCGTCTCACAGCGGCTCCCCCAGAGACACTGCCCACATTTCCCAGCATGCTCGGCTGAGTAGTTTGTAGTTGGTGTGAGTTGCTGCTTTCAGTGTTTGTTATCGTCCGTGGTGTGTCTGGTGGGGGGGGGGGGGGGGGGGGGGGGGGGGGGGGGGGGGGGGGGGGGGGTATTCCATCAAGCAGGCTAAAAGCAAATCCAGGCTTAAATGTCCAAGTCTGGCTAATATGAGCCAGAGTTCTGTTCCACTGAAGAAGTTCCTGGTACTATTTGGGGGGCAGGAACTTTAAAGGATCGTCCTCTCTCTCGGCCCTCTCAACCTGTAAAGTTACTGGGCTCTGGATGTGACGTAATCGTTGCGCGACTATTTTGACCGGGGCGATGCGGCAAAGAAACAAAGAAGAACAACAAATAAGAAGCAGAAGTACAAAGCAGAAAGACGATTATCAACATGGAAGGAGCTGAGGTGGTTGCTGGGTTTCTGGCGTGTCTCTTCATTTACATGGCGGTGGAAGCTATGAACGAGAGGAGAAGACGTCTCGCTTTCTGTTGACTTGAGTATATCCAATCAGCACCAAGTAATCCCCAAGCCCCAGCCAGGAGTTTCTTGGGGCCGTTCTGAGTACCTACTCCGAGGCAGGGACTTGTTTAGCCCCTGTAAAAGTTCCTGAACTCTGTCCTTCAGGGGTGATTCGGCCCTCATGGCTCCTTTAGATGAATTTCTTTTCACTGTTTAATGTATTTTAGAACAATGTAAATTCTGTTGCCACCTGGTGGATGTAAATATGGGCCTAAAGATTATTTCATACTGTAACTGCCGAGCTCTGTGAATACAAGTTAACACATTCATGTGAATCAGGCTGAGTTCAGTTTAACCTGCCGCTGTTAGCAAGAGCTGTTCTGTTTATATTGCATACTGAGTATAACATAGTACTGAAGTACTTTAGCTACTGAGTATAACAGAGTACTGAGTATCACAGAGTAATGAAGTACTTTAGCGACTGAGTATCACAGAGTAATGAAGTACTTTAGCGACTGAGTATCACAGAGTAATGAAGTACTTTAGCGACTGAGTATAACAGAGTACTGAGTATCACAGAGTAATGAAGTACTTTAGCGACTGAGTATAACAGAGTACTGAAGTACTTTAACTACTGAGTATAACAGAGTACTGAAGTACTTTAGCTACTGAGTATAACAGAGTAATGAAGTACTTTAACTACTGAGTATAACAGAGTACTGAAGTACTTTAACTACTGAGTATAACAGAGTAATGAAGTACTTTAGCGACTGAGTATAACAGAGTACTGAAGTACTTTAACTACTGAGTATAACAGAGTAATGAAGTACTTTAGCGACTGAGTATAACAGAGTACTGAAGTACTTTAACTACTGAGTATAACAGAGTACTGAAGTACTTTAACTACTGAGTATAACAGAGTAATGAAGTACTTTAGCGACTGAGTATAACAGAGTACTGAAGTACTTTAACTACTGAGTATAACAGAGTAATGAAGTACTTTAGCGACTGAGTATAACAGAGTACTGAAGTACTTTAACTACTGAGTATAACAGAGTACTGAAGTACTTTAACTACTGAGTATAACAGAGTAATGAAGTACTTTAACTACTGAGTATAACAGAGTACTGAAGTACTTTAACTACTGAGTATAACAGAGTAATGAAGTACTTTAGCGACTGAGTATAACAGAGTACTGAAGTACTTTAACTACTGAGTATAACAGAGTACTGAAGTACTTTAACTACTGAGTATAACAGAGTAATGAAGTACTTTAGCGACTGAGTATAACAGAGTACTGAAGTACTTTAACTACTGAGTATAACAGAGTACTGAAGTACTTTAACTACTGAGTATCACAGAGTAATGAAGTACTTTTGCGACTGAGTATAACAGAGTACTGAAGTACTTTAGCTACTGAGTATAACAGAGTAATGAAGTACTTTAACTACTGAGTATAACAGAATACTGAAGTACTTTAACTACTGAGTATAACAGAGTAATGAAGTACTTTAACTACTGAGTATCACAGAGTACTGAAGTACTTTAGCTACTGAGTATCACATAGTACTGGAGTACTTTAACTACTGAGTATAACAGAGTACTGAAGTACTTTAACTACTGAGTATCAGAGAGTATTTAAGTATTTTAACTACTGAGTATCACAGAGTACTGGAGTACTTTAACTACTGAGTATAACAGAGTACTGAAGTACTTTAGCTACTGAGTATCACAGAGTACTGGAGTACTTCAGAGTAACGCGTTACTTTGGAGGATCACCATAATAACTATGTATATTTATATTTTTATTCATTAATTTTTTTTGTGTGAGTGTGTGTGTGTGTGTGTGTGGTGGGCGGGGCCTGTGGCAGCAGCAGGCTCATTGTCTGAGGAGGCAGAGGGACAAAGAGGGGGAGGCCGAGTCTGTCTCTTTCTTCATGTGGGGGAGGAGAGGGGGAGGATTAACCGGCTCATCTGCGACACGCGCTCACACACAGCACGCATTTCATATCAACACTCACACACACTCTCTCACACACACACACACACACACACACACACACACACACACACACACACACGGCGGCCGAGCTTCATCTGGATCAGCATCAGCACCATCCTCCTGCTCCTCCTCCTCATCATCATCAGCGGCGGCGGCGGCGGAGAGGACGGTAGACAAAGAGACACGGAGACAGAGACAGACAGACAGGCCGGAGGTGGAGGGACTCGGTCCTCACCGTCTGACGGGAGACAGACAGACACAGGGCGACAGACAGGAGACAGAGACAGGCCTTCGCCGCCTCCACCGCCCGTCTCTGTTCCCTGTGTGATGGCCGACCACATGTTCCCGCTGCTGCTGCTGCTGTTGTGTGTGTGCTGAGTGTGTGTTGTTGCAGGTGGGTGTGTTCGGTGTGTGTGTGTTCGTGGTCCGGTGTGTGTTATGGGGAACGCGGAGAGCATGGAGAGCCAGCTGGCGGTGATCCGGTCCAGAGCCGCTCCGGTCCGACTCCCGATGCCCGACCCGGCCGAGCTGGAGGAGAGGTTCTCCATCGCACTGGTAATACACACACACACACACATTGGGTACATACATGATACACAGTGTGTGTCACACATGTTCATGCAACCTCAGGCTTTAAATTCCACTTCCTGTCTGATGTGTGATATGAGCTGCTGTGAATCAATGTATCGATCTATGAGCTGATGTTTATTATTTCTTGATATTTTTTTTTATTATTTTTGATATTTATTATTTATTTCTTTATTTTTTTTATTAATGTTTAATTATTTTTTATTTTGTCATAATTTTATTATTTTATTTACTTTTTCTATTTTATTTAAAAATGTTTAATTTTCTTATTGCATTTATTATTTTATTTATTTTTATGGTTGCAAATGTAAAGTGACCTGCACTTGTGTGGCCCCTTTCTAGTCATTTGGCCACTTTGGTCACATTCACACATTTCACACACTGGTGGCTGAGGCGACCATACAAGGTGCCTCCACTCAGTTTTTAACACACACACCAATGGAACAGCCATCAGGAGCAAGTGGGGATTCAGTATCTTGCTCAAGGATGCCTTGACTTGCAGATCGGAGGAGCCCAGGATCGAACCAATCCGATATAAGATCTTCCAATTGGACGACCCGCTCTTATGACATTATGATTATAACATTATGGTGTTTTGCAGACATCGGGGTTTTAGGGTGGAGGCAGTGTGATGGCCCTCAGTAACAATTAATATTCAGGGTGAAAGATAAACTTTATAAACTCTAATCATTCATTAAATGGTTTTAAATTTAACTTCTGTGTCTTTCAGAATTCAATGAACCTGCCTCCGGACAAGGTGCGTCTGCTGCGTTCCTACGACAACGACAAGAAGTGGGAGCTGATCTGTGACCAGGTGGGTGGTGCTAATAAAGTTTAAAGTTTGAATCAGTTCCTAACTGAGGAAGCAGCCTCACAGAGGTCATAGACCTATTAGACATCCTGCTGTATACACTCACTGGCGACTTCATTACGTACGCCTCTTCAACTGCTCGTCAACGCAATCAGCCAATCAGCCAATCAGGTGTCAGCAGCTCATTAACATTTAGTCATGTAGACATGGTGAAGACGAGCTGCTGAAGTTCAAACGGAGCATCAGAATGATGAAGAAAGGTGATTGAAGTGACTTTGAACGTGGCATGGTTGTTGGTGCCGGACGAGCTGCTCTGAGTATTTACTGGGATTTTCAGCACAACCATCTCTAGGGCCATGCTCAGTTGGTACTAAGAAAATCTCCCCCACACCATTACACCACCAGCAGCAGCCTGAAGCGTTGATACAAGGCAGGATGGATCCATGCTTCCATGTCGTTTATGCCAAATTCTGACGCTACCATCTTCTGATGGCTACTTCCAGCAGGATAACGCACCATGTCACAAAGCTCACATCATCTCAAACATGACAATGAGTTCACTGTACTCCAATGGCCTCCACAGTCACCAGATCTCAGTCCAATAGAGCACCTTTGGGATGTGCTGGAACGGGAGATTCTCATCATGGATCAACTGTGTGATGTCATCATGTCAATATGGACCAACATCTCTGAGGAATGTTTCAGCACCTTGTTGAGTCTGTGACACCAAGTATTAAAAAGCAGGTCCAACCTGGTACAAAGTGGCCACTGAGTGTTTGTAGATATACCGCAGTTATATTTAATTAATACTTAAGTGCTACTTTAATGTTACTTCTACAAAGTCAAGGCGGGATACCCCAGACCCCCAGACCCCCAGGGACCACCAGGTGGTTTGGGTGGTTTTACAAATGAGAATTCGTACCAGTGACAGTAAATGAAGATGGACTACACGTCTCCGCTAATATCCCAGATACAACTGCTGCCATCTTGCGCTGATGACGTAATTAGGAGCCAGAGTCTGCACAGTAGTGATCTCTGCGGTATCGAGTTCCCGCCCATACTCAGGTCCGACCAATTTCAAGCCAAAGAACGGATTAAAACCAAACTTATTAGAAGAATGACAACTTAAACAAACACTGGAGTTTTTTATTTGGTCCATGTTCCATCCATAAACATGGAGGCCATTTCATGCACTACCCACCCAAACACTGTTATAAACCAAGTACCCCACTTCATGACAGAGGCACTCCCGGAAGGCAATGGCCCCCTAGCAAGGCAGTGTATTGTGCCATATCATAAAAACTGTTCAGGAATGGCCCGAGAAATGTGACATAGACCTCAGGGCATCAACCTGGAAACCTCGAATTCCCTGATGCCAATCTGATCAAGCATTCATAGAGCATGTCGGTACCCCAGAGGTACCCCTGATCCACAGTGGAGCCTTCTTGGGTCAAAGCTGTTGAGGCACAGACACAGGGTCTCTGGGGTGTCCTGTGGTGTCTGGTACCAAGGCGATGGCAGAGGATCCTTTTAGTCCTGTGGGCTACCAGGCGGCATACTGGTACGTGCCACTGATGCTCGATCAGATTAGGATCTGGAGAATTCAGAGGCCAGGTTGACATCTTGAGATCTTTGTTATGTTCTTTGTGCCATTCCTGAATAGTTTTTGTGATGTGGTATGGTGCATTGCTCTGCTGGGGGGCAGCTGCCATCGAGGAGTGCTGTTGCCATGAGGAGGAATATTTGGTCTGTGATGGTGTTTGGGCGGGTGGAGTGTGCCAGGACCCAAAGTTTCCCAGCTGAACATTGCATTGTTATAAGATAATCAATGTTATTCAGCCAGCATTTGTTTGTGGGGCCCCTGTGGGTAGTGGGCCCCATATGAGATTGTCCATGGGTTCCATATTGGCCACATGCCAATTGCCCACATGGGTGGGTTTACTCAAGTGGGCCTCACATGGGTTATGCCAGGGCTACCAGGTACCAAGCAACACATTCTCACTCTGCACTCGTCACATACTGGCGCATGGTCTGTGTACTTTTAACGTCTACATATGATGTGCTAGGGATCCTGGGTGTGAATGTTGTTGATGTTCTTGGACGCCGTGTCGACTTACACCTTTTGAAGGCATTGTGTCTTTTCGAAAAACACCTCCATTTTCACAGGCAATTTCGGCTGACGGATGCATACAGGTTAGGCTTAGGCAACACATGCACATGGTTAGGTTTAAGCAACAAACAACAACTACAGCACTACTACGAGAACTAAATTAGATCTACGTCTAGAACCACAATACTGCTACGATAAGCACGATACTACTACTCCTAATGCTACACTATATCAACCACCAGAACGACAGCTTGAGTCAGGTTGTCACCACTATACTGGTGTTTTTGTTTGTACTGGAACTACAATACTACCACTAGAATACTACAATATTTCTACTAGTAGAGCTACGGTACTACTACTACTACTAGTAAAACTACAACACTACTACTATAATTACAGTATACTACCACTAGAACTGCAGACTATCTACTACAAAAACCACAACATATCTACGAGCAAATCTACAATACTACCTCTAGAGCTGCAGACCATCTACTACTAGAACCACAATACTGCTACTAGAACTGCACTACTACTCCTAGAACCAGGGGCGGATTAAGTCATTTTGGGGCCCAAGGCGAAGACAGGCATGGGGCCCTCCACATCCTTTTCTTGATCCTTTTATTGTTGTGGTGCTGAAATGAGAAGATAACACACAAAATAACAACAACAGGTCAATTATAGAGATACATACATTTTAACAGAATACACATATATTATTTTTTACCTTTTGTCCCTCTCTCTTCCTGTCCCTTTTTCTCAGTGTCTTCCTCTCCCCTTTTCTTTCTTCTTCTGTCCTTTTACTCAACATCATCCTCAAAGCCTGGCTGGATGCTGTCACAGCCCGTCCCTGTCTCCTTCTGAAAACAAACACACACAAAACACAGTATAAGGCTTGTACCCAGTGGTGTAATGTAACTAAATACATTTACTCAAGTACTGTACTAAAGTAGAAATTTGAGGATTTCATGCATATGTCCACTCCACTGTATCTCAAACACTGCACTTTCTACTCCACTACATTTGTCTGACAGCTTTATGCATTCTTTACGTTGCAGGTTACATTTATTTTCAAACCCTTCCTGCCCAGTGAAAACCATGCACTCCCAAATGATGATGATTTAATGCTAATATTTGTGATAAACTGAAAGAGTCTTCCTTTGTGGGGTGACTTAAGCCAAAACTCTTAAAAAACCCTTTGGACCAGCAGGAAAATGCATCATGACAAAGCTGAAAACAGGCTGTTTTGCTAAATATATGACAACTGCTTAAACCGTATATAAATTCATTTAAGAATTAGCTCAACCTTAAACGTCTACAGCAGTAAATTATAACATGCATTAAAGCGATATTAATACAAAGCTATGACACTGACAGGGATCATTTTAATGCAGAGTGAGTAGTTGTTAATAATTTACTTACATACTGTGTAATGTTTTGAATGCATAACGTAAAGGAATACTTACCAATATAGAATAAATGTACCCTTTGGACAGTTTTGATAACGTTACTCACTGGTTGTTCATCTCGATCTCCACACGTCAGACACTCCTGAACAGATGTTGACGTCGTCGTTGTCAATTTCCTCCTTCTTTCTCCTTTTCTCAGCTCCGCAGGGGTAACTTCTTTTCATTTCTCTCACCTTCGTCGTTGTCTTCTTCTTCTCTCCTCTTCTCTTCTCCGCGCCAAGCTGTTTGTTTTGCTGCTGTCTTCCTGAATCCTTTCGGCACATGCGCAGTAAGATGGACTAGTCCAATGTAGTGGGGACTGAAGGGGGGGCCCCGAGACACATATAGTGCAATAAGCATCCTGCTGGCATTTTAGCGTAAGGATTTTAATGAAAAACATACATTATGTTTACAAATAAGAAAAAACTAGATTAACCATAAATGCAGAAACTTGGGGCCCCAGGCAACCGCCTAGTTTTGCCTAATGTTAAGTCCGCCGCTGCCTAGAACTACACTATATCAGCACCAGAACTACAGCTTGGATCAGGTCAGATTGTCACCAGTATACTGGTGTTTGTACTGGAACTACAATACTACTACGACTAGAACTACAATACTTCTACGACTAGAACTACAATATTACTACTACTAGAACTACAATACTACTACTAGAACTACAATACTTCTACTACAAGAACTACAATATTACTACTACTAGAACTACAATATTACTACTAGAACTACAATACTACTACTAGAACTACAATACTTATACTACAAGAACTACAATATTACTACAACTAGAACTACAATATTACTACTAGAACTACAATATTACTACCACAGAACTACAATATTACTACTACTAGAACTACAATAAGACTACTACTAGAACTACAAAATTACTACTACAGAACTACAATATTACTCCTACTAGAACTACAATATTATTACTACAGAACTACAATATGACTACGACTAGAACTACAATATGACTACTACTAGAACTACAATATTACTACTACAGAACTACAATATTACTACTACTAGAACTACAATATTACTACTAGAACTACAATATTACTACGACTAGAAGTACAATATTACTACTACAGAACTACAATATTACTACTAGAATTACAATATTAGTACTACTAGAACTACAATATTACTACTACAGAACTACAATACGACTACGACTAGAACTACAATATTACTACTACAGAACTACAATACGACTACGAATAGAACTCTAATATTATTACTACTAGAACTACAATACGACTACGACTAGAACTACAATATTACTACTAGAATTACAATATTACTACTACTAGAACTACAATATTACTCCTACAGAACTACAATACGACTACGACTAGAACTACAATATTACTACAACTATAACTACAATATTACTACTAGAACTACAATATTACTACTACTAGAACTACAATACGACTACGAGTAGAACTACAATATTACTACTAGAATTACAATATTACTACTACAGAACTACAATATCAGTACTACTAGAACTACAATATTACTACTACTAGAGCTACAATATTAATGCTACAGAACTACAATATTACTACTACTAGAACTACAATATTACTACTACTAGAGCTACAATATTAATGCTACAGAACTACAATATTACTACTACTAGAATTACAATATTACTACTACTAGAACTACAATATTACTACTACAGAACTACAATACGACTACGACTAGAACTACAATATTGCTACTACTAGAACTACAATACGAATACGATTAGAACTACAATATTACTACTACTAGAACTACAATACGACTACGAGTAGAACTACAATATTACTACTACTAGAACTACAATATGACTACGACTAGAACTACAATATTATTACTAGAACTACAATATTATTACTACAGAACTACAATATTACTACTACTAGAACTACAATATTACTACTAGAACTACAATATTATTACTACAGAACTACAATATTACTACTAGAACTACAATATTACTACTACAGAACTACAATATCAATACTACTAAAACTACAATATTACTACTACTAGAGCTACAATATTAATGCTACAGAACTACAATATTACTACTACAGAACTACAATATTAATACTACTAGAACTACAATATTACTACTAGAACTACAATATTAATACTACTAGAACTACAATATTACTACTACTAGAGCTACAATATTAATGCTACAGAACTACACTGTATCTACCACCAGAACTGCAGTGTGAATCGGGTCAGGTTGTCGCCAGTGTACAGGTGATTTTGTTTGTCTGTTTGTTGTTTGTTTGTTTTTTTCTATGAAACTGGCATTGTCACCTCACATCACATCACAAGGGTTTGAAACTGCAACTGATAAACTAAAAACTGTAATTTGAAAACTACAACCGACAATTGGAAAAATACAATTTTCAACTAAACAACTACAAATGACAACTGAAAACAACTTCAAACCTGAGGTGGGGGTTTCACACCTTGGGGTGGGGGGGCCCTTATGTAGGGAGTTTGCATGTTCTCCCTGTGTCAGCGTGGGTTTCATGCAGGTTAATTAATTAATTGGTGAATCCTGTGATAGTCTGGCGACCTGTCCAGGGTGAATTCTCATCACTTTTCACTAAATCATAAATTAATAATATATATTCTAATATCGCCTAAAGACTGCTGATCCTGAACGAACCTGATTGCCGTATTTTTTCCTGGAGAGGCAGACACAGGTTTTGTTGGTGGGCGGGGTTTCGTATGTGATGTCATCCAGTCACATTGTTTGTGTGTGTTTGATGCAGGAGAGGTTTCAGGTGAAGAACCCTCCACACACCTACATCCAGAAACTGAGGGGCTTCCTTGACCCGGCCGTCACACGCAAGGTGAGGTGGGAAATGGAGTCTGTAGCTGGTGTACAACAGTGATGGTGTCAAAATGACATGTTGTTCTGTTCTTTTTTTCTGCCTGTTTAAAGTTTAACATTATTATTGTTACTAGATAATTATTGTCATTTAAGTTTATTAACCAGTCTGTACGTCTGTCCGTCTGTCCACAGAAGTTCAGAAGAAGAGTTCAGGAGTCGACTCAAATGCTCAGAGAACTCGAGATTTCTCTTCGTACAAACCACATCGGGTACCTGTCAATCTGAATATCTGTCTGTCTGACCACCTGTCTCTCTGCAACTCTGTCTCCTGGATCATACTGTACTAATTCACTCATTTGTTAATGAATGTGCGAGGTCACAAAGTGTTGAACAAATCAGTAAAATGTTCATATATAAATATATATATAATGTACAGTAGCATGTTCTGTTTATACATTGAATAGCTTCTGGTTGATGAACGTCGGCCTGTGTGTCTGTAGGTGGGTCAGAGAGTTCCTGAATGAGGAGAATCGAGGTCTGGATGTTCTGGTCGAGTATTTGTCCTTCGCTCAGTACGCCGTCACGTAAGTCTGAACAAACACATATTAAAGTCATTAAATATAATAAGGTACATGTTGTTAAGGTTTCTGCAAAAGACTTTAATGTTAAAAAACAACAAAACTTTATTTCCCTCATATTTTCTGTGCTGGAACACCTCTGTCTGGTTTTCATATCTCGGCGTCTCTGCACAAAGAAGGGCAACACTTTCTACTGTAAAACAATCCCCCACAAAAGTTTCTAAAGACAACTGTACATGTTCCAGCAGGAATATGATCCCAAACGTGGAAGAAAGCTACAACATGCATCCCTGACGTTAACATGTAGCTACATGTAGCAGTGTACTTGCAGCTAAGGTTTCTACTGTGAGAAATCACCAAGTAATCCTCTAAACAGAACCGGCCATGTTCCAACAGGAATACGATCGGAAAATGGCAGAAATGTACAACATCGGCAACCAAGTTTACGTGTTTGCCCGTCATTAGCATGTAGCTACATGTAGCAGCGTAGGCGTAAGCAGATATCCATAAAGAAATATGTCATACAGTGACATCATACTGTTGCCAGAGTAAAAAAAGTGTTTATATTTCAGTATAAATATTGCTAATATTAAAAACTGCAGATAAAACTACAGACTGCTGTTTGTGACGAAGAGAAACTGAATTATTGTAGTTAGCGACAGGTCGATATTTGTGTTCAGGTTTGATGGCGAGCAGTCGGAGGCAGGAGGTGAGGTCTCGTCCATAGATTCTCCCTGGAGTCGGTCCATAGAGGATCTCCATGGCGACTGCAGCCTCCCCTCCCCGTCCTCGTCCGTACCCCGAGCAGCCCGACACTCCATCAGGTAACAAACGTAAGAACAGTGCAGGTGAACTCAGCAGGTGAAGACGTCCTCTCTGATGACGTTTGTGTGTTTGCAGCTCGGCAATGGTGACTCGCTCCAACACTCTGCCTAGTCGTCGCACTCTGAAGAACTCGCGACTCGTCTGTAAGAAAGATGACGTTCACGTTTGTGTCATGTGTCTGAGAGCCATCATGAACTACCAGGTAACACTGTAACTCTTCATCTGAAGACACAGAGCAGTTTGAATGTGGTGACCAAGCTTCATCTGTGTCCTCCTCTTCCTCAGTACGGATTCAACATGGTGATGTCACATCCTCACGCTGTCAACGAAATCGCCCTCAGCCTCAACAACAGGAACCCCAGGTCAGTAATTCAAATACATACAGAGAGCTAACTACAAACTACAACAGAAAATATACCAACAACAAAAACTACTACTGGAAAACCATAAACAACAAGTGGAAAACCCAAATAACGACTAAGAAAACTACAAGCTTTAACTGAAAAATTGCAAACTACGACTAAAAACTACACAGCATAGATTAAACTACAGCCTGTTGTTTGTGTTGAAAACAAAGATACGTTTTCTGAATGAAGTTAAAATACAATTAATGAGCTTTTTGTTTAAAGTTGCAATTAAAGATTTAAACTTCATTAACTGTTTCTCTGCCTGCCTGTCTGATGACCCGTTTCCCTGTCTTCGTCAGAACGAAGGCTCTGGTGTTGGAGTTATTGGCGGCAGTGTGTTTGGTCAGAGGAGGACATGAGATTATTCTGTCAGCCTTCGACAACTTCAAAACTGTAAACAACACACACACACACACACACACTAATCCCAGCTGACACAGTGTGAGGGGCGGGGTTTACCTGGACAGGTCACCTGTCAATCACAGTCACAAACTCTTGACTCCGATAGGACAACGGAACAAATGAGACAAAGTGTCAGTTGATTGGTTGGTTCACCAGCTCGTTGATTGACTGATTGATTGATTGATTTGTTGCAGGTGTGTTCAGAGTCGATGCGTTTCGAGAAGCTGATGGAACATTTTAAGAACGAGGACGACAACATCGACTTTTTGGTACGAAGGGTTTATTTTATCTTTAAAGTCAAATGATCTAAATTATAGAGGACCGAGAACTGAACCCTGAGGAACCCCACACCTCCACACACCTTCAGGGTTCTTACATGAACTCACCTGGGATTCCAGTTTAATTATGGTTACATCATCCAGTTAAAAAACAGTTGCTAACGAAAAATGTGTTTGTGTTGTTGTCGCCATGGTAACGGTTGTCAGGTGGCCTGCATGCAGTTCATTAACATCGTGGTTCACTCGGTGGAGGACATGAATTTCAGAGTCCATCTGCAGTATGACTTCACCAAGCTCAACCTGGACGAACACCTGGAGGTAACATGGTCACATGATCGTCTCTCAGCCAATCACAAGAGGGCTATTGATTAACAACACGCCTGTCTCTGTACGTGTCTCACTTCAGAGGCTGAAGCACACGGAGAGTGACAGGCTGCAGGTTCAGATCCAGGCATATCTGGACAACGTGTTTGATGTCGGGACGCTGCTGGAGGATGCCGAGACCAAAACTGCGGCCCTGGAACGAGTGGAGGAGCTGGAGGAGAGCCTGGGCACGGTAAGATGGACAGGTGCAGGACTAACCTGTCTCTTCCTGTTTTCAGACGTCGGGTGTGTGCTGGACACTCCTAACGAAGCGATGAAAGACAGACAGAGAGAAACGTGTCGTACTGACCTGTCCTTGTTTGTGTCCTCAGATGTCAGAGCGTCTCCTAGACGTGGAGAATGAAGCAATGCTGAAGATTGTCGAACTGGAGAAACAGCTGATGCAAACCAATAAGGAACTGGACCACATCCGGGTGAGTGCTGTTGTCATGGAAACCACAGGAACATTTGGTCACTATAGATACAGAAACTGTGGTGTATGACGATGCTAATGTGAAAGGCATTCTACATTTCTGTTTCTAAACTTGATCAGTGAACCAGAAAAAGAAAAGAACTCCTGAAATATAGTACCGTCACTTTAATTCTTTACCTGTTACCTGTGCAGGAGGTGTACGCAAGCACCAACTCTCAGGTGCACACTTTGAGGCGGATGGTTCGGGAAAAGGACCAGACAATCCGACGTCAGAGCCGTCTGGAACGCCAGGCTCAGGAGGCCCAGCAGGCAGGAGGACCTGGAGCTCCTCAACCCCAGAGAGGAGAGGGTGATGGGGGAGTGGCTGACTCCGCCTCCCCGTCACCTCCACCTTGTCCTAACCTGTCCCCCAGGTGAGACACGCCCCACAGTTAGAGACTCAAGCTACAATAATCTAGACCAGAACCAGAGTGGACGTGAAATATGCAGCGGTATATAAAATCTAGAGGACCTAGAACAGAACCCCGAGGAACACCATATGTCAGTATTAAGACTAAAGTATAACCTGTAAAGGACCAAAAACAGAACAAAGAGGAACCTCATTAGTCATTATAAACACAGTAATATAATACATTTTAAATTATAAAGAATCAAGAACAGAACCTAGGAGACCCCCCAAGTCATTATAAACAACATTAAAGAAAACATAATAAAGGACTGAGAACAGAGCCCTGAGGAACTCCTAAAGTCATCATTACCACTGTAAAAAAATAATAACCAGAGGAATACCCAGAGGAACCCCCCAAGGCATTCCAAAGACTGTAAAAGAAGTATTATGAAGGACCGAGACTAGAATCCTGAAGAACCCCATGACACAATTAACACTGTAAATGTGAAGATCATGTCACTCTCTGTTTGCTGAATGTGTATGTATGTAAAAGAAGAAGAAGAAGAAGAAGAAAAAATGAGCAGGAAAACAAGACGGTCCTGTGCAGGACTGCCTGCCAGGCCCCTAATTATGAAGGACCAAGAACAAAACCCTGGAGAACCCCAAATGTCATTATTAACACTGTAATAGAATACATTTAAAATAAGAAGAAAAATAAAAGAAAAATAAGAAGGAAAAATAAGGCCGAGCACGGAAGAACCAGAGAGGAAACACCATCACATGGAGCTGTCCACATCGGGAGGAAACCAGCGCCCCCGGCAATCCGGCCGCCAACAGGAACCCGCATCCCGGCCCAGGCAGGGGAAGAGCCCAGCATAACTGCCAAAAGGTGATGGTCTGAACCCGCTACCCCACCAGGGGAGAGCGGACCCCAAGCCAGCGCCACAGCAGCCAGAACCAGCGGCCGCCCCCCGGTGCAGACGGCTCCCACTGAGGAAACACTGGAGTTAAGAACTATAATAAATAACATAAAATATTAATAATATAGTATCTAAAAAATAATAAATAGTATCTAAGTTATCTAACAGACTAAAAGTAAGACTACATTAGTAAAAATTAGGCCGGTGCCGGAGGACCTCAGGGTCAACGAGGGTTGCATAAGATAAAAACAGGTTAGAAAGATAAGAAGGGGCAAGACCATTAAGACATTTAAAAACAATTAAAAGGACCTTAAAATCAATCCTAAAACACACGGGGATCCAGTGTAGTGATTCTAAAACCGGTGAATACATTAATAAGGACCGAGAACAGAACCCTGAGGAACCCCATGTCACAATTAACACTGTAAATGTGAAGATCACGTTGCTCTGTGTCTGCTGAATGTGAAGTAAGCAGGAATACATTATAAAGGACCTAGATCAAAACCTTGGAGAACCCCAGATGTCACTATTAACGCAGTAAAGGAACAGATTATAAAGGACCAAGAAGAGAACTTCGAAAGACCCCTAAAGTCAGTTTTATCACAAAAATTATAAAGGATCGAGGAAGGAACCCTGAGGAACCCCATTAGTTATTATTAACACAGTAACAGAATAAATTATAAATAATAATTATAATTATAATTTTTTTTCTACAGTCAGTGTTAACACTGTAAAAGAATAAATTATAGAGGACCAAGAATAGAACACAGAGGAACCCCATAAGTCATTATTATTAACACTATAAAAAATAAACACAGCTACACACAGTTAATGTGATGATCATGTTGCACTGCATCTGCTGGATGTGTACATGGAAAACTGGTGGCTGACTCTAACAGGACAATATCTCAGAGGTTGAGTTCTGTCACCCCCAACTGGCCAAAAATGATTAATGTAGCTTTAAGTATAACGTTCCTCTGACGAGGGTCGGGCTTTGTGCGTTAGTTACAAACATATTTCTATAATTTGATCATGGTTGAGTTATAAAAATCCAATTTACCACATATCAGTGTCCAATAAGAAAAAAATGTTTCTTTAAATGTGCGATGATTGATTCTGATTGATTACCTGATTGATTTCAACAGTCCTGAGACCGTAGCTTATCACAGCATGGGACCAGGGATGGGCGGAGCTCCAGGGATGCCGGCCCCTCCCCCACCCCCTCCTCCACCACCGATGCCGGGCACAGGTGAGTTTCAGTTCCACCAGACAGTGAAGGATCCACTTTGAGTACGACACTGACCTGTTTTCTTTCTTCTCTTTGTCTTTAAAGTGTCCAACGGGTCGTACCCTGCACCTCCTCCCCCTGCTCCTCCTCCTCCCCCTCCTCCTCCTCCTCCTCCATGTCGGACCAGCGAGCTCTCCTCCTCTGTCCCCATGCCCCCCCCTCCTCCCCCTGTGGCCCCGCCTCTCCCAGGTACAGGGGGGTCGCCCACAGTCATCTTTAACTCTGGACTCGCAGGTGAGGCTGGCTGAAATGATGTGTTCACAGGCGGTGAGGAAAATATTCAATGTTCCGTTTGAAGTCCAGCGTTTAAAATGTGACATAACAGAATACTTCATCTCCCTAAATGTATTTGTATATCAGTTACTCACCACGTTATGTTGAATTTATGAAAAAGTTTATCTCTCACACCTCCATGGTGAATGAAGAATCCAAAAAAGGGGGAATATTCATATTAAATTGAAGTCACTGAGGACTGTATTTAACAACTATAGCAAAACACAACAAACTCTCACACAACTCCTGCAGTTTGATCCAAGTCTGATTTATCAAGACGAGCGCTCAGAACTTCACAGACAGCGCTTTCCCATAAAACACTGAATGGAAAATGAAAGATAATCTCAGCTCCCTTTAAAGCCAGACTCCACTGACAAAACACGGGAGCTGTTGGTCTACCGCTGCCTTCATCACTTAGTTAATTTGTGTTATTGTGTGACTTTGGTGAATCTGAACTAACGAACGAGACACCCCAGATAAAAATGTTTGTCATGCACTGGTCAATTTTCAGATTTTGGGGTAGTGTGCCTCCATAGCATTTCTTCTTTTAGACTGCGTGGAAGAAAACATCCAAAAACATATCTAGGTTTATTTTAGTTCAGATTTTCTACACAAAAAATGTTTAAACATAAAATGTAAAACTTGTATTACAAAAAATGATTGCTTGGGAACTGGGGAAGTTTCATGGTGATATCTGCCAGTTGAAATGTTTACCCTATTATTTTTATCTCATCTAAAAATGGTGGAATTATTATTATATACATCAAATTTTCCACTTTTATTCATATCTATTTTCTGAGGGTTTTCGGGGGGGTGTAAACAGAGGGGTTTGTTTATGTATCATTCACAGCTTGATTTATAGGACTTTTTATTCCTAAAAACATAACATTTTCTTTCTTTTTTTTATGGCTGTTGACAATCTTTAAACATAAAATTTCAGAAAACATGTATCACAAAAAATAATTGTCTAAATGTCAGTAAACAACAGGGAAGTTTCATGGTGATATCTGTTAGTTTAAATTTTGACCCTATTATTTTTGGTCTAAAAAGTGTTAGGATTATTCAATGCATATACATTTTCAAAACCAAAAATCCCAACTTCAGTAGCACTTACATGCACCAAATCTTCCGATTTTATTCCCGTGTATATTCTGCAGATTTTTGCAGAGGGGTTTGTTTACGTATCATTCACAGCCTGATTTATAGAACTTTCTTTCCTAAAAACATGGCAAGTACAGTATTTTATGATCCATGGACTGATTAAAAGAGATATCCACAATTCCTTCTGTTAAAAATTTTACGCTCATATCTCAACAAAGTGAAACAAGAATATTGAAGCTGACTTTATCCAACGTTCAGATTTACATTTTGGAAATTTAACAAGCAAATAGCCCATATTTAACTAGATTATACATCACTGGCATATTTAAACATAACATTTCAGAAAACTTGTTTTAGAAAAAATAATTGACTACTCTAAGTACTCAACTGGGGAAGTTTCATGGTGATATCTATTAAAAATTTTACCATATTGTCTCATTTTTGGTCTAAAAATGTTTAGAAAGGTTGTTTTTTCAAAACTCTGAGCCAAAAATCTCAACTTCAGTAGAACTTACTTTCATCAGATTTTCCAGTTTTATTTCTGTCTGTGTTCTAAAAGTTTTTACAGAGGGGTTTATTTATGTAGCATTCACAACCTGATTTAGAGAACTTTTTATTCTATAAAAACCTGGCAAAAATAGATTTTTTATGGCTTTTAGCAGTATTTTCTGATTTATGGAGTGATATAAAGAGATATCCAAAATTCACTTTGTTGAGACATTTAACTTTAATATGAGAAACAAGAATTTTTAACCTGACTTTATCCAATGTTAAGATTTCTGCTCTGGAAACTGAGGAAGTTTCATGGTGATATCAGTTAAAATCTTTACCCCACTCACCTGTAGTGTCTTCAGAGGTCTCTGTGTTATTAAAGGTGAATCCAAACCTCCCAGCCAATCAGAAACCAGGATTCTCAGTTGTCATTGTAAATGTGTAATATAATCAGAGTTTCATGATATTGATGTGTTGTTTTTTCTCTCACCTTGCTGACAGAGGGTCCTCTCAAGTTATTCTGTACGTTTACTTACACTTTACATTGAAACATCTTCACATTACTCCATCATCATCACCATCATCACCATCCTTCCTTTAGCTCCTCCTCCATTCCGCTGCATCCCTCCATGTTCTGCACACAGTAAAAACCCAGAGTGAAAACACACCTGTAGTCTTTGATCCATCTCAAAGTGAAACTGAAGTCCTTTCTCCCTGCTCACCAATCTCTGTTGCTGCTGTGCAGCTGTGAAGATCAAGAAGCCGATCCAGACTAAGTTCAGGATGCCGGTGTTGAACTGGGTCGCCCTGAAGCCGAGTCAGATCAACGGGACCGTCTTCAACGACATCGACGACGAGGCCATCCTGCAGGTGACACAAACACCCATTTTAGTCAGTTCATCATTGAGTCCAAGTGGACGTTTGTGCCAAATTTGAAGACATTTCCTCAAGGTATTCTTGAGACATCACGTTCATGAGAATGAGAAAGAAGAGGTCACAGCAACCTTGACCTTTGACAACCAAAATCTAATCAGCTCATTCTTGAGTTCAAGTGGACATTTATTCCAAATCTGTGGAAATTCCCTGAAGGTGTTCTTGAGATACTGCATTCACAAAAATGGGCCAAATGTAGTCACAGTGACCTTGATTTTTGACCAACAACTACCAAGATTGAATCAGTTCATTGTTGAGTCTAAGTGGATGTTTGTGCAAAATTGTATTCATTAGAATGAGAAGAATGAGGTCACAGTGACCTTGACCTTTGACCTACTTCCACCAAACTCCAATCAATTTATTCCTCAATCAAACTGGATGTTTGTGCCAATTTTGAGGAAATTCACTTAAAACCTTCTTAGGATATCATCTTCACAACAGTGAGACAGATGCAAAGTCACAGTGACCTTGACCTTTGACAACCAAATTCTTACCAGTTCATTTCTGAGTCCAAGTGGACATTTGTGCTGAATTTGAAGACATTCCGTCAAGGTGTTCTTGAGATATTGTATTCATGAGGATGAGAAAGAAGAGATCACAGTATCTTGACCTTTGACCTACAACCACCAAAATCTAAGCAGTTCATTGTTGAGTCCAAGTGGACGATTGTGCCAATTTTTAAGAAATTCCCTCAAAGTGTTCTTGATCCCTCAAGGATATTATGCTCAAGAGTATCAATGAACCAGGTCACAGTGATCTTGATCTTTGGCGACCAAATTCTATGAGATCATCCTTGAGTCCAAATGGACGTTTGTGCCAAAACACCTGACTGTGAAGGAGTCTGAGGAACTGTTTAACTATCTGTCCCTGTCTGTCTCTATCTCTGTCTCCGTCTGTCTGTCTGTCTGTCTGTCTGTCTCCGTCTTTCTCTCTCAGGAGCTGAATGTGGAAGAGTTTGAGGAGCTGTTTAAGACAAAGGCTCAGGGTCCGGCGGTGGACCTGACTCTGTCCAGACAGAAGCTTCCTCAGAAAGCTCCGTCCAAAGTGTCTCTGCTGGAGGCCAACAGAGCCAAAAACCTGGCCATCACTTTGAGGAAGGCTGGTCAGGGGTCAGAGGTCATCTGTCGTGCCATCCACATGTATGTCAACCAGCACCACCAGTACCACTGACAAAGGTGTGATCACCACCACCAGGAACGACCAGTAAAAGGTCACTCTGTGTCTCTGCAGGTTCGACCTGCGGACGGTTCGGGTTGATTTTGTGGAGTGTCTGATGCGTTTCCTGCCCACAGAGGCCGAGGTCAAACTTCTACGGCAGTACGAAAGGGACAGAAAACCTCTGGAGGCTCTGAGCGACGAAGACCGATTCATGATGCAGTTCAGCCGCATTGAAAGACTCAGTCAGCGCATGTCCATCATGACCTTTATGGGCAACTTCACCGACAACGTCCAGATGTTAACTCCGGTAAGACAGACAGGTAGAGACAGATGGGTAGAGACAGACAGGTAGAGACAGACAGGTAGAGACAGACAGGTAGAGACAGACAGGTAGAGACAGACTGGTAGAGACAGTCAGGTAGAGACAGACAGGTAGAGACAGACAGGTAGAGACAGACAGGTAGAGACAGACAGGTAGAGACAGACAGGTAGAGACAGACAGGTAGAGACAGACTGGTAGAGACAGACAGGTAGAGACAGACTGGTAGAGACAGACTGGTAGACACAGACAGACAGGTAAAGACAGACAGGTAGAGACAGACAGGTAGAGACAGACTGGTAGAGACAGACTGGTAGACACAGACAGACAGGTAGAGACAGACAGGTAGAGACAGACTGGTAGAGACAGACAGGTAGAGACAGACTGGTAGAGACAGACTGGTAGAGACAGACAGGTAGAGACAGACGGGTAGAGACAGACAGGTAGACACCGACAGACAGGTACACACAGACAGACAGATGTGACCTGTCTCACTGTGTTGTCCTCTTGTCTCTCAGCAACTCCACGCCATCATCGCTGCTTCAGTTTCTATAAAATCATCTCAGAAGCTCAAGAAGATCCTTGAGGTCAGTCTGAGGTTAAACATCAATGTGTTCATGATCACCTGTTTATACACTGCTCAAAAAATTAGGAACACTTAAATCATCCGTCAAATCTTGTTGAACTAATTATTCAAGTGGAAAATCTTTACTGATGTACGCTGTATAATTTGTTGAGAACAGAATGTCCAGGGGGATCTCCTCCCTGTCCTGGATCAGGGCATCAGTGAGCTCCTGGACAGTCTGTGACTTCCTTGTTAGGACTGTGACCTTCATGTGTTTGAGCAGTGTTATTAAGTATATACGTGAGAGTATGAGTGAGTGTCCGTGAAACTGTACCTGTTGATGATGACGATGATGTTGTAGATCATCTTGGCTCTGGGGAACTACATGAACAGCAGTAAGAGAGGAGCTGTGTACGGATTCAAGCTGCAGAGTTTAGATCTGGTAACACACACACACACACGCAGTTCCTATATGACGACAGTACCTCAGGTTTGATCGCAGCTCGTTACAGTGTGCGTTTGTGTTTCAGCTGCTGGAGACAAAGTCGACAGACAGGAAACAGACACTGCTTCATTACATCAGCAACGTGGTCAGAGAGAAGTATCCCGCCAAGTCTCTGTTCTACAACGAGCTTCACTACGTCGACAAGGCTGCTGCAGGTGAGTCCGTCAGCCAATCAGGGCGCTGCAGACTCCTCCCACTCTGCGTCACTTACCCATGTGTCCCCACCTGTGCACAGTGAGTCTGGAGAACGTGCTGTCCGATGTGAAGGATCTGCAGCGCGGCATGGAGCTCACCTGGAGGGAGTTCAGCGTTCAGCACAACGCCACACTCAAAGACTTCATCAGCAGGCACGAGTCACGGCTCAACAAGCTGCAGGAGGACGCGCGCATTGCTCAGGTGAGACTCCACCCGTTTCTGATTCACATTACGTTATCTACGCCGTAAACAAATCACTTTGTTTGATGACTTTGTTTGGGTTCATTTCAGGATGCGTTTGAGGACGTGGTGAAATTTTTCGGGGAGAGTTCAAAGACAATGCCGCCTTCCGTCTTCTTCCCCATCTTCGTCCGTTTCATTAAAGCATACAGGGTGAGTAAACATGACACACCTCCTCTACAGGGAAGCCGCACCTACAACAGGACCACAGGGTTTATGTTTGGAACAAGTCTTAACGCCTTACTGGCAGAGGGCAGGACCTAAAAGAACACACAGCTTGACAAAGGAACAGGTTGTTGTGTATTTAATTTGTGTGTTTCTGCATATGTGTGTGTTCTCAGCTGGCGGAGGAGGAGAATGAGCAGAGGAGGCGTCAGGAACAAATGTTACTGGAGAAACTGGAGCAGGAGGAGCAGCAGCAGGAGGAGGAGACCAAGGTGAGACTGTGACTTCTGACCTTTGACTGGTTTTAATGAGTAAAAGTAACAACTTGACGTACTCCTGACTCTCACCTTGACGAACTCCTGACTCTCACCTTGACGAACTCCTGACTCTCAATTTGTACACCTGACTCTGAATGTGACGTACTCCTGACTCTCAACTTGATGAACTCCTGACTCTCACTTTGATGAACTCCTGACTCTCAACTTGTACTCCTGACTCTCAAGGTGATGTACACCTGATTCTCGACCTGACGTACTCCTGACTCTCACCTTGACAAACTCCTGACTTTCAAGGTGATGTACTCCTGACTCTCAACTTGACGAACTTTTGACTCTCAAGGTGACGTACTCTTAAGTCTCAAGGTGACGAACTCCTGACTCTCAACTTGATGTACTTCTGACCCTCAAGGTGACGTACACCTGATTCTCGACCTGATGTACTCCTGACTCTCAATGTGACATACTCTTGACTCTCCACATTGGGGATGTGACGGCTCATGGTGCCTCACCTGATGGCTCTCATGTCTGTTTATGTGATCTCTAAAGATCTCCATGTATCCCCCTCCTCCCCTCCAGTCTCCCTCCCACAGGGGGAAGCGGCAGCAGCAGGAGCTGCTCACCGAGCTCCGAAAACGTCAAGGCAAAGACAGTCGCCATGTTTATGAAGGGAAGGATGGCGCCATAGAGGACATTATCACAGGTAAATATACACCACTAAAACACATTGTCACAGGTGAACAAACACACATCAGACCACATGTTCTCTGTCTGCTGTCTGATTGGCCATTTTGGTTTTATCTCACCTGCAGCTTTGAAGACCGTCCCCTTCACGGCTCGATCCGCCAAACGCAGCTCTCGCTTCTTCTGTGACCCCGCCCACACTGAGGAGCACTACTGAGGGACAGAGAGACACATTACATTGTAAAGAGAGCTTAAACGTCAGCATGTTGGAGGATGGTGTCTTCTTCAGCTGGCCACGCCCACTTCTAATCGATGGGACCAATTAGCACTTTGAACATTTCTGATCGATTGATGTGAACTGATGACATCATGTTTTGTATGTTACTTTATTGGTCAGTTTGTGCACAGACCAGGTTCCCAGACACCACCTGACCTCTGACCTCTGACCCCTGACCTGTCCCTAATGTTCCGCTCTGTTCTGACCGCTGTCAAACCAAACTCCATCCAGGAATTTTGGGATTTAAAGTGACACCAGAACCCAAAATCCTGGTTCTGGGTCAGCATGTCTGTGGTCCTGTGGTTGTTCTGGGTTCCTTCAATCTGTCTCTTTAACTGGATCGTGTACAGGGTTCTACTACTTTCACTACGTTGTGTTCTACTGTGTTTTACTGTATTTACTAGCCTTACCAGAGCCAGGTATACACAGAGTCTGGCACCTTTCTAAAGGGTTAGGAAACAGTGTCAGCAAGAAGCACTCAAACACAAGAACCTTTGCCAGACTCTGGTTATCTGTGGCTCTGGCTCACCTTCCTGAACCTGACCCTTCCTCAAAACGCATTTCCTCTGAAGCCCCGCTGTTAGCCTGTTAGTTACAGTGGCCTGCAAAAGTTTGGGCACACCAGGAAAATAATTCATTTACTGTGAGCAGTTAAGTAGAAGATGAACTGGGCCAATTTTTGGGCCGTCTTCATACATTGGTCTTTTCGGTCTATCCACAGATTTTTAATAATGTTTAGGTCGGGGGACTATGAGGGCCATGACAAAACCTTCAGCTTGCTCTTCTTGTGATAGTCCATTGAGGCGGTAATCATCCTTTTAGCCATTTTATCTGCTTATCTGGGACATCATCCCTGTCCACGGCAACACTTTCAAGCTCCTCCTGGAGGATCCCGAGGTGTTCCCAAGCTAGATGAGATATAAAATCCCTCCAGTGTGTTCTGGGTCTGCCCCGGGGGCTCCTACCAGTGCGACGTGCCTGGATCACCTCTAATGGGGAGGCGGCCAGGAGGATCCTGATCAGATACCTGAACCACCTCAATTGACCCCTTTTGACGCAGAGGAGCAGCGGCTCTGCTCTGAGCTCCTCACCCTATCTCTAACTCTGAGCCCAGACACCCCACATTGGAAACTCACTTTGGCCGCTTGTATCCATGACCTCATTCTTTTGGTTACTACACGGAGCTCATGACCATAGGTGAGGGTTGGGACCAGTAAAAAGAAAGCTTTGCCTTCCAGCTCAGCTCCCTCTTCACCACAACAGTCCGATGCAGCGCCCACATCACTGCAGAAGCCGCACCACACCGCTGATCCACCTCATGCTTCATTCTACCCTCACTGTGAACAAGACCCCAAGATACGTAAACTCCCTCGCTTGACGCACCAACTCTCTCCCAACCCAGAGGGATTAATCCACCAGTTTAAGGCCATTTTTACAAATGCTGTGATGTTTGCTTCCAGAATTTGCTGGACTTTAACCGACTCCATTCTTTGCTCTACCTGTGAAATGTTCCCCGTGCCACTGGCTGCAACACAAGCCCGAAGCATGATCCATCCACCCCCGTGTTTAACAGTTGGACAGGTGTTCTTTGCATGAAGTTCTGTACCCTTTATAGACCTTTCTACTGTTAGTAAACAGTATGGCTTTTTTGTGGGCGGGGCTTAGCTGTAGGCAAAACAATTCTCCACAGACATTAGCTAGCACTAGTTAGCAAGTTCTGTTGTCTTGTTTTAAACGATGAAGATGATGTGAATGGTGCGTTCAGAAATAGGATGTTTCATTTTTAATCTCGTTTTTTGACGATCAGCTCATCTTCTACACGCTGAACTACTCACAGTAAGTTTTGAACAGGGGTGCCCACACTTTTGCAGCCACTGTAGCTCTGGAGCCGCACCAGCAGGAATATCGACTGAAAAATAAACCCTGCCTCAAGAAACTCGGAGCTACAAAAAGCCAAATTCTGGTCTTGTTGTGTTTTGAAATGTGTCACCAGTGAGGGGGCGCTGTGGCCCAAGACAACAGAATAAGAAAAACACGTCTCTGTCTGCCCTTCAAGAACTCAACAGACTTCCCTGTAACGTAGACGCAGTCTGAGACGATGTTTCAGACGATAAACTGACCTGAGTCCTGATTTACTGACGAAACTCTTCAGTCTGTAACATGAAGCAGCGAAAGTGAGGTCAGTCTGCTGGTGAGGCTGGACATACATACTCTGACTAACCCAGAACAGACTTAAAGCAGCCCCTCTTTACCTGTGTAGAGGCAGGTCTGAACACTGCTGTGTCCATTCCAGCAGTCCTGCATCAACATCATCACAATCCTGCGCCCCCCCCCCCCCCCCCCCCCCCCCCAAGTCGAAACAAGACAAAAAAAGTGAAACAGCACAAAGTTTTCTACGTGTACATACATTTTCTAGAAAGCTGGTTAGCGTTGCTCGTACTGTTTAGTGTTTGTTGGTTGTTGGTGATTCTGCACTTGGTGGTGTGAATAAAAAACACACCCTGTCTACATGACGTCTGTCAATTTAATGCCGGTACTACTCTAACTTTAAATAGTACTTTTCAACCTTGACCCTATTTTACCATGTTTTTATGTCACAACAGTTTTTTGAAGTGGTCCAGTACTGAGGAAGAGCAGCTGTCGTCAGTGTCTGTCCTCTTAAAATGTTTGTTCTTGTCACTTACAGGCTCAGATTGTTGTTCTGAGTGTCTGACACCACTATGGGAAGGATCCCTACAGAGATAGAGCTTTGTGTTAAAGAGTAAAGAACCAAAACCAGCCCCCCAATCACTGGCGTCAAACCCACCAGACTCTTAAAAACGCGTTAATGAAAGTCGACACAAACAAACCAGCTCTGGTTTCCTTGAAATTAACCCGTAATTCACCCAGTTCAATGTGAAAACATGCTGCCTCTATACACACTAAAATGACTCTTTATTTAAATGGAGTCTGGTGGGTTTGACCGATTAAAAAATGTCATCACTTCATTAGTTTTATCTTTTTAGACATTTATGTTAAGTTTTGTCATAATTAGCATACGAATTCTTGGCCGAGAACTGGTTCTGTGAGGTCATAGTGACCTTAACCTATGATCACCGAAATCTATTGAGTTCATGCTTGAGTCAAAGTGGACATTTGTGCCAAATTTGAAAAAGAAAATCCCTCAAGGCGCTCTTGAGATATGACATTCACGAGAATATGACAGGCAAGGTCAGACTGAGCTTAACCTTTCTACAGTTGTGTGGACATTTTTGCCAAATTTAGGCCCTTTCTCAAGGTCTTCTTGAGATACTATGTTAACGAGAATGAGACAGATGCAGGTTAATGGTAACCTTTAACCACCAAATTGTAATCAGGTCATTGTTAAGTCCAAGTGGACATTTGTACCAAATGTGTGGATATTCCCTCATGGTCTTCCAGAAATATCTGGTTCATGAAAAAAAGATGAACGCAAGTTCATAGTGACCTTTCACCACCAAAAACGAAAAGGTTCATCATTGAGACTAAGTGGCCGTTTGTGCCAAAGTTGAGAGAAATTTCCTCAAGGTGTTCTTGTGATCTAACGTCCGTGAAAATGAGATAGATGCAAGGTGACCTTTGACTTTAAATCTAATCAGTTCATTCTATAGTCCAAGTGGACATTTGTGCCAAATTTGAGGTTATTCCCACAAGATCTTCCAGATATATCGTGTTCACAAAAATGAGATAAACTCAAGTTCATGGTGACCTTTGACCACCAAAAATAAATCAGTTCATCGTTGAGCCCGAGTGGACGTTTGTGCCAATTTTATTTTTTTAAGATATTTTGGGGGCTTTTTCCCTTTATTTGATAGGACAGCATGAAAGGGGGAAAGAGAGGGGGAATGTCGTGCAGAAAAAAGGCGTGGGTTGGAATCAAACCTACGGACGCTGCGACAAGGACACAGCGTTTGTACATGGGGCGTCTGCTCTACCAGGTGAGCTAGCGGGCGCCCCGTTTGTGCCAAATTTGAGGAAATTTTCTTAAGGTGACATAGTGCATACACGAGAACAGGACGGACAACCCGAAAATATACCGCCTAAAAAAGGTTGAATTACAACAAGAGGACGTCAGCAGGGCTCACCTGAATGAAATAAAGTTGTCATAATCGTTAACCTTACCTGTTATTTCCTGCAGTGAAAACAGACTGCTGGGAAACATTTCACATTTAGGTAATTTCACATTGACTGTTTCACTACATTACCCATGATCCTCAGCTACAGATCTTCAACACAAACTGATTCAATGTCTTTCAAGTTTAATTTTTTTTTCCACTGGTTACACAAAGATAAACAGAGGAATATGGAATATTTCCTGGTCTCTGATTGGCTGTTAATCACATGATACAGTTTCCTCTTCACTGATTGGCTGTCTCTTAATTATTTTTTTTTATTTATTTACAGTTCCTAACTGCTACAAATATTTTGTGAAATTCAGTGTTTATTTATAATTGCGTTACTGACAGTGAGGATTAATTAATTAGACTGTTGGTCACTTCCTGGTGTCCCGCTCTGTGATTGGCTGTTTGAGTCTCCTGAGGCTCATCCAGAGAATGAGTTTGAAGGACGACCTTTGACCCCAAGTCCTGTCACCTGCAGACACACACAGACTGTCAGTCTCTCCAGGTGTATGATACTGAACACAGGTGAGTCAGAGAAACAGGTGAGTCAGAGAAACAGGTGAGTCAGATACAGATGAGTCAAAGATACTGGTGAGTCAGAGATACAGGCGAGTCAGAGATACAGGCGAGTCAGAGATACAGGCGAGTCAGAGATACAGGCGAGTCAAAGATACAGGCGAGTCAGAGATACAGGCGAGTCAGAGATACAGGCGAGTCAAAGATACAGGCGAGTCAGAGATACAGGCGAGTCAGAGATACAGGCGAGTCAAATACAGGCCAGTCAGATACAGGCCAGTCAGAGATACAGGCCAGTCAGAGATACAGGTGAGTCAAATACAGGCCAGTCAGATACAGGCCAGTCAGATACAGGCCAGTCAGATACAGGCCAGTCAGAGATACAGGCCAGTCAGATACAGGCGAGTCAGAGATACAGGCGAGTCAAAGATACAGGCGAGTCAGAGATACAGGCGAGTCAGAGATACAGGCGAGTCAAATACAGGCCAGTCAGATACAGGCCAGTCAGAGATACAGGCCAGTCAGAGATACAGGTGAGTCAAATACAGGCCAGTCAGATACAGGCCAGTCAGATACAGGCCAGTCAGATACAGGCCAGTCAAATACAGGCCAGTCAGAGATACAGGCCAGTCAAATACAGGCCAGTCAGAGATACAGGCCAGTCAGATACAGGCGAGTCAGAGATACAGGCGAGTCAAAGATACAGGTGAGTCAGAGATACAGGTGACTTAGTGGTACAGGTGAGAAAGGTGAGTCTCACCCTGAAGGTGCCTCCGGCCAGAGGCTGCGCTCTCCTATCTGATTGGTTGAGGCCCACACTAGCTGAGGTCACATAGAGGTCAGCGTAGTCAGGACCTCCAAAGCAACATGAGGTGGTCTTCGTCACTGGCAGAGAGACCGTCTGCAACCGCACGCCTGCGAGCAATCAACAAGTCACCTGAGAACAACAACACATGACGTAACCTGACCAGTTTAACCAGTACAACTAACCAGTAGCAGGGTCGATGTTGATGACTCGTCCCCCGTTATAACAGGCCACCCAGAGACGACCTTCAGCATCCACTGTCATCCCGTCTGGAAGCCCCTCCCCCTCCTCCATACGATAAACCACACGGCGGTTTCCTAGGCAACCACACAGCAGTTACCACATGAACAGAAGTATAAATACACATACGTACTGCAGTATAAGTACATTATTACCGATGTGTCCGGTGTTTGAATCGTAGTCGAAAGCGTCGACAGTCAGAGCCAAACTGTCTATGTAGTAAAACGTCTTCTGATCCAAAGACCAATCCAAGCCATTAGATATGTCCACCTGAGAGTGAGACAGGTGCAGAGACGGACAGGTAAGGTTACGTGGCTCAGGTGTTTGGTCACAGTGAGGTCAGAGGTCACAGAGACGGACAGGTGAGGTTACCTGGCTCAGGTGTTTGGTCACAGTGAGGTCAGAGGTCACAGAGAACAGAGATCCTTGCTGTTTCTGAACCACCGCAGGTCGCTCCTCCTTCCCCATCGTACCTGAGACACCAATCAATCAATTTCATTTATAAAGCCCAATATCACAAATCACAATTTGCCTCGGAGGCTTTACAGCATACGACATCCCTCTGTCCTTATGACCCTCACAGCTGATAAGGGAAAAAAAAACAACCCTTTAACGGGGGGAAAAATATCACCACACACTGTCAGGTCATTTCGGTCACTTTCGTCTCCTGGACATATGGGCAATCAGTTTTTTGTTGAGTCCAAATTGACTTTTGTGCCAAATTTGTAGATATTCCATCAAAATGTTTTTGAGATACCATCTTCATGAAAATCCAACAGACAAGGTCACAGTGACCTTGACCCTTCACCTTTAAACACCACAACTATAATCAGGTAATCCTTGACTCAAAGTGGACATTTGTGCCAAATTTGAGGATATTCCCCCACGGCATTCTTGACCTTGAACTGCCTCAATCTAATCTCTTAGCCATTTAATCCAAATTGTCGTTTGTGCCAAATTTGAGGAAATTACTTCAAGGTGTTCTTGAAATATCAGGTTCAAGAGAACAGGATGAAAACAACCTGAAAACATAAAGCCTCCGGCAACAACTGTCGCCGCTGCGTAGGAAAGGTCTTGGTGCTCAAACAGGACGTGAATGTGGTTGACAGAGAAGTTTCAGAAACCCACACTGACCTGCCAGCAGCCGTCCAATTGGATCAACCTTCCCATCGTTCAGTCTGTTGTTCAGTTTGTCCTCGTCAACTTCCACCAATGATGTCATCGTCTGAGTCGACCAATCAACAGCCACGATGCTGCGCCCCACACCAGCCACATAACCACCTGACCTACGAGGAACCGCGAACCCCACCATGTCACCTGAGGACAGACGGACAGGTGTGAGTCTTCAACGTCTTTTAGTTTAATTAAGGAACAAACTCTCCTGATTGGCCGACCTGTCTCCACAGACTGGATCTGATTGGTCGCTGGGCTCCAGCGGTGGACTTTCTGCCCGGCAATGTCGACAAACAGCAACATCTGCTCCGATTCCTCCCACACCGGCCCTTCGCCAATCAGAGCTCTCGTCATCACCACGCACTCCACTTTCACCGATGACATCGTCACCTGTCTGTCTGGACCAATCACTGAAGAGAAGGCCTGTCAACCACTGTTTCCATGGAAACAACAGGAAGTCAAATAAAATAAAATAATAAAAGTACTGCATGACAGTACTACATATTACATTACTACATATAAAAGTACTACACGATGTACACATACTGCATGTGACTACATGTTAAAGTATTTAATACAACACACTCTAGTAGTACTATACAATGTATATCTACACAGTACTACACATTACCATATGACCTTGACCCTTCACCTTTGACCACTAAATTCTAATCAGGTAATCCTTGACTCAAAGTGGACGTTTGTGCCACATTTTAGGGAATTCCCCCAAAGTGTTCTTGAGATAATGGGTTCACAAGAATGAGATAGATGCAAGGTCACAGTGACCTTGACCTTGAACTACCTAAATCTCATCAGTTTGCCATTGAATCCAAATTGACGTTTTTGCCAAATTCGTAAACATGTTCTTGAGATACCATGTTCACGAGAATGCAACAGATGAAGTCACAGTAACCTTGACCTTTCATCTTTGACCACCAAATTTTAATCGGGTAACCCTTGACTCAAAGTTGATGTTTGTGCCAAATTCGATGAAATTCCTTCAAAGCCTTCTTAAAATACAGTGTTCAAGAAAAGGAGACAAACGCAAGGTCACAGTGACCCTTCACCTTTGAACACACCTGTGAAACATGCAGTAACATGCAGTACAAATGTTGTGTACCTGTGGTGTAACGTTGCACTATAACATGGAGTAGTATAATGACGCTACAAACACACACACACACACACACACACACACACAGCTGAGTCAGTACTGGTACACATTATTATTAAAGTAGCACTCTGTGATTCTGCAGAACTTCACTGTCTCCATGTTGGTGACGAACAGCAGGTCAGTTAAACAGTAACTACACTGATGCTGATTCAACATGTTTCTCTGTCGCCAGACTCCGTTTACAATCCGTCATTTTTTGCTGCTGCCTTGCTCCTCCACACGTCAGACACCTGCTGGAATCAAACTAACGACTTGATATGACAGCGGAAGTGTTTCTCTTTAATTCGGCTCACAAACAAAGCCCACTTTCGGAAACACACAGATGCTTTAACTTGATACTTGAGTGGAGTCTGGTTCCCGAAAAGGCGTCTTCAAGCTACTTTAAACACGTGCGGTACAGGCACGCGCACACACCTGGACAACAAACAAACTCACCTGCTGCGGTGAGATTCACTCCCAGATGTTCCTCAGGTTGTTCGTTGTACGTTCACGGAACGCGGGTGCAACAAGTTCTCTGTGACACTTTGCTCCAGCTGATGACATCACAGCTCCGCCCCCCTCGAACCGGCTGACTCCGACCAAACGCACCCCACCAGACACAGTCAATCAAACAGATCCGATTTATCATCGATAACAAACATTGATGAAGTTAATAAACCATCAGAGGGCTGATTAAGTATTTATAACACTTCTAAAAAATATATTAAAAATAAACAAAGATTTTATCAATAAAAACTGTTGATTAAAATTAATTATTATTATTATTATTTATCCTTCAGTCAGAATAAAAGACTAAAAAAACAGTTTATTCAGTTTAACTGTTTAAATTAAAACTGTTCACAACAAAAACAGACATATTGTTTAAATGTTTCTTCACAATAAAACGTTCCTCTGTTTCTCTGGTGGACGCTTTTAATGTGAAGCAGCGACAGGAAATGATGTTCAGTTTGTACAGGAACTTTCAGCTCTGATACAGGTGATCAGTGATCGGTTAAATAAGGTGGATAAACAGGAGCGCTGGAGACAAACTTCACAGACATTCAGTAGATCAGGCTGCGGCTCAATCGCAGCAAACACAGAAGAAGAACACATTCCAAAACAACATCATCTGGGCAATCAATAATCAATCATAACTTATCAGCACAGATCGATAACATGATCATCAGTTCTGATATTAAAGCCCATGAAGAAGAAACGACTCTGGTTGCTATGGTGACGCCTGCTCTGAGTGCCAGTCAGACGGTAAGCTGAGGAGCACTTTGTGGCGACGGACCATCTGCTGTCTCTGTACACACACTCTGAATGGAGGGAAGGGTGGATCACTTTTTGGCAGCGGTGGCTCTGGCTCGGGTCAACCTGTCAATCAAGAGGCGGTCGGAGGCGGGGCATCTGGAGAGGACCGCCCCCATCTCTGAGTCGCTCTTGCGTTCGATTGCAGCGTCTGCCGCGCCCTCCAGATCACTGACAGGAAGAGGAGAAAAGGAGGAGTCACCTGAGTGGTCAGGGCTCACCTGTGTGATGATGTCACAGGTGTCACAGTGAGTCTTACCCGACAGCCAGGTGAGCTTTGACCTTCTGCTCAGGCGTCACCTTGGAAACGTACTTCTTGGCCTCGTACTTGTTGTTACTCTTCATGCAGACTTCAACAAACGCCTGACGAGGAGACAACGCTAAGACTCATGGGAAATGTAGTTCTATCTTTAAATCATTATTAAAGTGAGGGGGCGGGGCTTCTTCTTACCAGGTAGCCAATAGGAGACTTCTTGCTCTTTGAGAACTTCTCTAACTCCTCCCACTCCTCCTTCTCTGCCAGAGACTTCAGCTTCAACCACCAATATCTGCACAGTTAAGACAGGTGAGACAGATGGGACAGGTGGGACAGGTGAGACAGGTGGGACAGACTCAGTTCAGCCAATCACAGAAGAGGCAGCAGTGACATCACCTTTTGTCAGGTACTCTGAAGTCTCTGTAAAGTTGTTCTGCTTGTTTGTGGAGTCCTAAAGCCAGCAGAGCCTCCATGGTGGCCTGGACAAACAGGAAGTGACATCACAAGGCAGGCAGGTGACATTGATTCAAATTTAGAAACAGGTGCCACACTCACCTGTACTCCTGAAACTACATCTTCATGTCACACTTGAAGACAAGAACTGAACTACTCACCCTCATCACCCTTTACTAATACGCCCGCCCCTTTATGTACCTGCACATTCCCAGTAGCCCCGCCCCTCTGTGTACCTGCAGGGACAGTCCCAGTAGCCCCGCCCCTTTCTCATCGTCCAGTTTGCGTTGGAAGCGAAGAAGACGCATCTCGTCCTCTGTGGCCTGAAGACAGAAATCAAAGATGATGATGGAGGTTTCTGTAAATAATCCACCAGGTGATTAAAGTTGTACACCTACCTGTGTGACAGGTGTGGTCAGGTACACCATTAACGTGAGCAGAAAGGTTAAGTTTATAATATCTTATTGAAAAGGTTCACCTTTGCAGAGAACTCATTCTTGGCCTTGTTGTATTCGTCGACAGCGCTCTGCAGGAGAGACAGACGGCTTTCTAACCTCTGCACACAGACAGACAGACAGACAGACAGACAGACAGACAGGTCAATAAAGGCTTGACGTCTCTTCACAGTCCTGCTCTGGTGGTTTGGCAGACTGCCTGACAGGTAACAGGTGTCGTTACCTTTTCTCTGTAGCTGGCAGTGACGTAGTAGTTGGCGAGTTCCTGGTGATCATCGTCCTGATTATAAAGATCCTTTAGAGTCTCCTGTTCCTGCAGTTTACAGAACTGACAACACATACAGAAACCTTATCAGTTGAGGACTGTGATAAAGTACGGTTCTAACAAAGTTAAATAAAGTACTGTAACCCATCCATCAATTTTCATCGGCTTATCCGCAGCCGGGTCTCAGGGGCAGCAAGTCAAGCAAAGCATCAGAGACATACCTCTCTCCAGCACCGCTTTCCAGCTCCTCCTGGAGGACCCCAAGGCTTTCCCAGGCCAGATGAGATATACAGTACAATCCCTCCAGTGTGTTCTGGGTCTGCCCCGGGGCCTCCTACCACTGCGATGTGCCTGAAACACCTCTAACTAAAGGTGCCCAGGAGGATCCTGATCAGATGTTGAACCACCTCAACATGAAGGAGCAGCGGCTCTACTCCGAGCTCCCTCCAGATGTCTGACTCCTCCCCCTATCTCTAAGGCTGAGCCCAGACACCCTACAGAGGAAACTCATTTCAGACGCTTGTATCTGTGACCTCATTCTTTCAGTCACTACCCAGAGCTCATGACCATAGGTGAGGGTTGGGACGCAGATGGACCAGGAAATACAACGCTTCACCTTCCGGCTCAGGTCCCTCTTCACCACAACAGTCCAGCACAGCACATGCATCACTGCAGACTCCACACTAAACCGCCGGTCCATCTCTTGCTCCATTCCACCCTCACTCCTGAACCAGTTTCTGGCAGAAAACCATAGCCTCCGATTTGGAGGTGCTGACTCTCATCCTAACCACTTCACACTCAAACTGCCCCAGGTCATGCTGGAGGTCACGGTGTGATGAGGCCGACAGAATCACATCATCTGCAACAAGCAGAAATGCAATTCTAAGGTCCCCAAACCAGACCCCTTTTTCTCCAAGTCCACAAAGCACATGTAGACTGGATGGGCAAACTCCAACGACGAGCTAGTCCACTGTTTACGGCCAGGACAGAATCCGCATCCTCATGGGGGGCCTCCACACTGGGAGGTGTGTCCGGTCTGCCCGCGGGGACGTCGTCCTGGAGATCCCTCAGGCCCCCGAGGACTGGGGGGCCACCCTGATCTATCTGGGTCGGAGTGGTCTCTGTGGCCGTCGGCTGTGGCGCCTCTCAGTGTGGATGAGCTCCCCATAGGTGGTTTTTCCTCACCTGGTGCCTCAGTGCCCTGTGTGTGTGTGTTATATGTGGAGGGTGGGAGGGGCACAGCTTCCAGGATCACCGGGACACGCAAACCCCTCCACCACATTGAGGTGGCGATTCTTGAATTACTGTAAGACCTGCTCTAATAAAAATACATCAAGAAATTTTCCAACCAAAATTAATATGGTGATGAAGAGTACCTGTCTGTAGAGACTCAGTGCGACCGGTTGGTTCCTCAGAGTCATGAAGAAGTCTCCTCTGTTCATCTCGTTCTTCAGGTACGTCACCACCGTGTAAACTAAGAACACAGGAACCCATCAGTGTGACATCATCTGCTTGTCAGACAGGTAGTGGGCGGGGCTAAGAGACACTCACCTAGGTCAGTATCTCCACTCTCCACAGCTTTACTGAGAGCCAGCTGACTCCTCTTCATCTTCAACAGCAGAGGGACTTGTTCTCCAGACCGAGCCTCAAAGTCCAACAACTGACAGAGAGACAGAGAGACAGGTGAGACAGACAGGTGAGCCAAGGAGGGACAGAGACAGGTATGTTTGTTACCTTGATGGCGAGCTCAGTGCGTCCACATTCGTACGCTTTGGCTGCGATGTGTGAGTAAGACACACCAGGTGAGTCTCCCACCTTCACACACACCGCTCGGGCTATGGCCTCGTCTGATAGGTCCTTCTGCTGCACCTGCACAGGTTAGACAGGTGGGACACACAGGTGAGTCAAGTGAGACAGGTGCATTAAGTGAGACAGGTGAGACAGGTTACCTTGCATGAGGCCCAGTGTTTGAGGACTCTGCTGACTCCCTGATAATCTGGAATCTTCAGGTAACGGCAGACTTCTATCGCTAACGGATAAAACTGTCGATACACCAGTCTGAGAGACAGACAGGTGAGAGACGGACAGGTGAGACGCAGACCAGTGATACAGACAGGCACACAAAGATAGATAGGTTAGATGGGTGGACTTACCTGTCGATCAGCACCTGTATAGTCATCTGTTTGAATCTGAGATCAGAGGTCAAGGAGGCTGTCACCATGGTTACTGATCTGACGTCTGATTGCATCAGATGATGACATCACAGTCACAGTCACTGCAGTTTATTAGAACAGACTGTTGGACCTCATGTCCCATGATGCACCTAGGTGTGAGGATACTGAGTGTGAGTGAGTGGCAGCCCCACGGTGCTCTCCCTGACGGCGTTCAGGACTCGGAGTTCTCTGCAGATCGTCACGAACGGGTCCGAACTGAAGTCTGTCAGGAAACACTTCCCAAAGGACGCCGCCTGGTGGACGAGACGTGAGAACACAGAACAATGATACAGAACGCTGCCTGGTGGACGAGACGTGAGAACACTGTAACACACCAAAATACAGAGCCCCTCGAGTGAGCGTGTGTTCTCACCCTCAGCAGGGATTTCTGGGTGTTGGCGTCATATTCGTGTCCTGCTGCCTCCACACACTGTCGGACTGCTTCTCCCAGCATGCTCTGCTCCTTTATCTCCCTCAGGTACTCATCAGCCTTCTGACTCGACTTCTACACAGAAACAAAAGGAACAAGATCAGAGACAAACATCAGAGGAGCGTGCGGTCAGATGGGCGGGTTCTTACCTCGTACTCCCTGTGGGCCTCCAGCAG